ACGTGTCAACCCGATGGCGACCTCCTACCAACGACTACTGTGGTTTGACTGGTAACGCTCACAGAAAACTTGAAGGATACGGCTGTTCGAAGTGATATACCTTTTCTGAATGAGAAATGGGCGATGCTGTTACCGGCACCAGACGTGGAGGCGGAGCTCAGAATGGGTTGGCAGCCTCAAGGCGCTGTAACTAGCGCGCCTTTGGCTGTGAAAGGGCCACGGTTCGTTTTCTTCCGGTTTTGGCTACTGCTTCGATAAAGGTGCATGCACCTTTATCGTAACTTTTCGCTTCAAATTGTTGTTTATTCACATACATATGAATACATATACTGCCCTCCGACGGACTTTGGGGGGGGGGGGGGTAATCAGTAGAGGGAGTATATAAAGGGCGAAAGGGATTAAGGGAGTCGTATGGGAATTCCTGAAAAAAGAATTGTCCTGAGTCTGAAGCTCGCACAAATGGTGCCGACTTTGTCGAAACAAAACCTTTACCCAGGGTATAGGTGGTTATTTCTCGACTTTCAAACACGTTCTGATTTAAACATCGGGTCATTTCACGGAAGCTTCGTTCAAACTCTCATCACTTCAGCACTTAAGACTTGCGAGCTTACTTTCTTGTTACTCCCAAAAACTAGCCAGTCACATTACCGATTCACGCTGAAAATGCATAACGTCACGTGCAAGCTTTCAACGCTCGCCTGCCTGCAAAATTCCTTGTTTACGTGAGTTTCATCAGCACTCTTTGAGAGAACAAATGCATAGCATAGCTCCAAGGAAGCAAAGCGTGTTGAAGCTTGAATGTTTCTTCCTTTCTCTCGAATGAAGAAGTATCTTGAACCAGGTATTTACGCATTCAAGGTCGATTTCAGTGCTTCTCCTGAGATAATAAAGAAGCTAATATTTACCTACTTTCTTTTTCGTTTTTCCATTTGCCTACCAATAAAGTGCAGTGGTTAGAGTGCCTGCCGTCCACTGCTGTCACACAGAAGGCGCGTTTCTCCGTCTCATTACGCTAAGATTTTAGGCAGGTGCTAGATTTTGAGACGAATAGCTCGCTAATGGTGTGATGATCGCAATGTCTAACCCTTACCTACTTGTTTGATGTGTACAATAGCATTATCGTGCCAAATTATCTATCTATCTAGTCTTTATGTACGTTCGCTAAAGTTTATTCTATGACGAGCTACTCTCGCAGTTGGCTAACATTTTTTCTGTCTGGAGTCTTAGCTATACGAGGAAACTTATGAGTTTTGGGGAAAAATAAGGATAATACTATTATAGAAAAGCGGGTCACATCCAGTAAGAAGGGGCAGTGTAGAGTACAGCGCTAACGCGTTCAAAGATACGAGTCGGGATCGGATTGGTGTCCATTTTGTTTGAACAATAGGCAAGGAGAGCACAATGAGGAACATAAGGGGTAGAAAAAGCAAAAGTGTCGAAGAAAACACCGGAACTTCCTTTTTGAGGCCGGCCGTGGTTTGATGGAGACGAAGGCGCGGAAAAGGAAAGCGTTAGAGAGTACGACATGCCGAGGGGGCGCAAACACCACGCATTCCGCGATTGATAAGGATGGCAGCGCAGCAGCAGCTGCAGACAAGGCCTTAGCGCCGTTGCCTCACACTTTTCAGTCGCGACAGTGCCGCGCCTCCATCCCTCTCTCTCTTTGGGAAGGACTGCCTCTAGGGACCCAGTCCCGACTCGTTGTTTTTAAAACCTCAGAAAGCATACACTTTCAGCGTTAGCGTTCAGGGATGAGTCTTAGAAGGGGGACTCTTCGGGTACGTAGGCAATCTTCGTTTTCCCCGGGGTCTTGTTTCCCTAAGCTTAGACCTAGCTGTTCACCAGCTTTGTGAAGCAACTATTTTTCTGAACGTTTATTTTTATCACTCTAGCACAATAAATACACAGTTTCACTGAAAAACTGAAGAAAGAACACATAGGAATAAAGTGAATTGCAGCTTGAAACTTATAGAGGCTCTTGAGCCAAACTGGCACTATAGCAGATTGTGCACCGCAATGTCCCCCAGCCCCTTACTGGATGAGACTCGAAAAGGGTTTTGGAAAACTTTCATCTTGCGCATTACCTAAGAATCAACTGTCGATGGATGGGAAATTGGTTCTATTCGGTACTTGACCCGGCGCCGCTTTCAGCGCGAAGTCGCAAAATGCATCTTCTGATCGGCGTCCCTGTCCATAGGTCCACGGACTACTTGATCTTATCGTTAGTTCTTTGAGCCGCCTCAATCCGATCCGCTCTGCGCTCTCTCGCCTTATCAGCGGCTGATGACCACTGTGATCTCACACATTCAAACTTTTGCCACACTGTAATTGGCTCACCCACCTCGGAGTCCCTCCCCCTCCAAGGCTTAGTCCTAGGCTCCACCTTCCTCCTTGGGATTTGGAGCCGAGCCAGGCGCCGTTCTCTAATTGTCTGTGCTCTCCGCCATTCGTGGCAAGGACCATAGAGGAAAGTTCAAGTAACCTGTAAATCCTGTCCGTAGCCCGCTAGATCATTAGACCGAAGGTTTAAAAGCTCGAGACAGAACGTGGGGCGGTGGGACGACACACACATTTTTCAGAGCTTGCGGTTTCAAGTGCGAACTAATTTAATATTTGCATGCTCAAGGAATTCGACGACGAGCACTTTGCCATTAAATTCCTTCGGGCACACTTTTTGCATTTTTTGCGCACGGGATTTTGTTACCAGCTAGCGAAAGAAATTCCCTGAAATTCAATCCCATGACAAGGGCAGTGTATATATACAATATTTCGTCATCAACATTATTGGAACAGTGAAATGCCTGCCCTTATCGCTCTCTTACTGTTAAATGCTAAGCTAAGCCGATAATGAGCTCTTTTCTGTTCACAGCATTGTTTAGCAAAGGCTCTCGGCCGAATCACGCAACTGGTCACTGTATTGAGTTATCACAGATAATCATTGTTCTTAAAGTTTTATCAATGTTTATTGTATTCGTGTGAAATATGGATTAAAATATGCTTGTCCCTATCTTGCGCACAGTTTTACTTTTATTTCTATTTATTTGGCCATTGCTCTAGTCATCAACGCTCAATATGTTGGCGAATCGAACTTTGCGCCAGCGAATCGACCGATGCACCAGCGAGTCGAACTATGTACCAGCGACTCAACACTGTTTGAAAGTGGCGGGACCCAACGTTTAAAGGAAGGCCCGCCACTTTCAAAGTGTGGTCCTTTAAAGTGGACTTCCTTTAAACGTTGGGTCCCGCCACTTTCAAACAGTGTCGAGTCGCTGGTACATCGTTCGATTCGCTGGTGCAAAGTTCGATTCGCTGGCGCAACGCTCGATTCGCAAACTATGACATCGGCCTTAGGCAGGTGCTAGACTTTGCGACGAATAGCTCGCGAATGGTGCGACGATCGCATGGTGTGACCTTTACCCTGCTTGACTGATTCGGTTGAAAAAAGATATTTACTTACAAAATTAACAATAGAGATATTATAGTACAAAAAAGAATAGGTATGGAGGAAACAACACACTTGTGGCACGGAGCGGTTCTAATTTGCGCCAACAGAAGCTAAGAATTGCTGAGGGGATGAAGGGCAGTGGCGGTGACATCAGGGGAAGGGAGAGCAGTGGCCGTGATAACATGGAGAGGAAAGGCACGGGCACCAGTGTGTTGAGGGTTCCTTTCAAAGGGGAAATTTGTGCTCTCCGCAAAGACTGAAGTTTACCTCTCTGACAGTTCGCAAGTGCGCGAAAAGAGCTTTGTAAGACCAGGCGAAATTCTTGCTCGCTATGCACAGTCTAAGGGCGGGGAGCCTGCGTCGTTCCATCCCATGGGCTTTCTCGCTATTCCCTTTCCCTGGTGCTTACCATTAGTCCCGCTTTGTTGTAGAACACTTTAGGCCACTTAAAACGCTACAAATTTCGGTGGTTTTTTAAAAATTTTCCTCCACTGCTGGCTCTCTTCTCGAATCCAAAATCATTTACGAGAGCAATAAGTACATCATTTGGTCGTGTACTGTGCCTTTAGCCTTCTACTGTCTCTCAAAGCGTATTTGGGTTGTTTGTTGACGAGCCGTTCGTTCGTGGGAAAGCAGCTCAGTCACAAAGGGACCGATTTTTAGTTGTATCTACTCAATTATTGAGCCTTAGTCTCATGCTGCAGGAATTCTTTGAGGAGATCTTGAAACGTGCGTTTGGGACACCTATCTCGTATTAGAATTACTCTTTTCGTTCTCACGCATTCATGAAATTTCATTCACGCTGTGTTGATCGTAACATATTTCAACATAGTTTGCTAATAACCGCCTGTTTTAATTTGAAAAAAAAAACTATCACGTTATGTTGAGGTTATTTACTAATTATATGTCCTACAACCAAGCAATGTACCTGTTTCGCCCGGAAAATGGAATCAAAATAATCGCTCCGGTGAGAAATGGACTCTTGATGAAGAAAAATGGAAAGAAATCATGAAAGACACATTCGACGGGCCTCCTTTTCTAAATTGCGCTATAGTGAAGAGACAATGAGTGTCGACGAGAGAGTGTATACGAGACAGTGTGTCGAGCGAGAGGACACAGACACTCCAGCTGCGGTAATCTTCGTGCATTACAAGATCCTAGCACCCTTGTTGTTGTTGCGCGCTTCCAAGCAGTGAGCTGAATCTTTACCTTTGTAGATAGCTCTTTCCTCCTTACGCAAGGAATTCATCCAGCTGGTTCAATCTATTTGGAAGTGTGCCCTTATGAGGATAATTACTGTTAAATCAGTGTATGGAGTTTTGAAGTACGATCTTCCATGAGGGAACAATCCAACTCGTGTAGCTCCCAAATAACGCTTCGCGAAAAGTCAAGGAGCGGCCAAACGATTTCCATAGAGACCTGATGAGTACTGAGCGCATTCCATTTGGTAAGGGCTAACGTACTATGCCAACTTTAAGCACCTCAATGGGGAATGGCATGGGTTACCCATAAAAGGCTTTCAAAGCTCAGTCGATGGGAGGAGCACTAGGTAACGATGGTGGATTATCCTGGTGCCCGGGCGTTTGGCGGCACTCCCTGGGTTGGGCCTGCGATTAGCCACTTCACTTTCGGGGCGTTTTAAATGACAACTAATGAGCGTTCCCTCCCATCTTTTACGGTATTTTGTCAGCGTGAATATCGAACTTGGAATTTCATTAGATTTTTCTCTCAAGAGAAACTTATTAGTAACATTTTTCTTTTTCCCGTGGGATGACGATCTGTTTGTTTTCATTCATACTACGTAGCACCTACGCCTTTGATGTTTTGAACAAGGAAGGGAGATAGTAAAGCCATAGAGGTGTTTGCGAAGCCAAGCTTCTCCTTTGGCTTCATTACTTCTTTCTCGTGCTTCGGTAGGCATCAAACTACCACATGCTCTTATCGGATTTAACGGACCACTTGCATCTTCCATCGAATCTCAAGTTCTTTATTTTCACTTCAAAACATTGAGAATCCAGTTCGCAGGTGTATGCTTTGTAGCGTGGCCTATGAAGGAAGATGTGAACCTAAGAAAACATTAATTTGACAAATCCTATGGGAAAACAGGCCAATCGAAGGGCTGCGTCAGCCATCATTGTTCAACTTCGTCCCGGTGCGCCACGCACCTACCTTTGGTAAGGAAAGCTGTGGCTATTGTTTTGATAGGCTTGGCTCAACGGCCCGCCAAAGTATTTGCGTTTGCATGCTTGAACTTAGACACCACTTTTCTTATCAGTGAATTACAGCCTATTCTGACGTTATACTTCATTAGTGAACCAGTTCTCTCACTCATTTACAATACCAGTTGATGTACTCGAAGTTGTAGGATGCGATTTCTATAAAATCAAATGGGCTAGGAATTGAAATGAAGCATATTTACCCTTGAACTCCTTTACTTATCATACAGTTGATACTTTCATAATTGTATACTATACTTGTTATTCTAGATATAGGTAATTTGTAATTTTTTAGTAACCTTACCAAAAGCAAATTATCCTATGGTTTGTTCTATTTCATGTTTGCTTTGAACCTGCTGAGAGGGCCAGTTGTTTCAAAATCGCTCGTTTCTTAAGAGGAAAACTTGGACCGTCCGTCTCCTTACTCTAATTCTACTTCCAAGTCCATCTTTGCCCTCGTTCAACCCGTTTTTTACTGATACGTCTTATTTCAGCATGACAACGATCGCACTTATCGGCATCGTGTTTGCGGCTATAATCGGAGTCTTTTTTGGTTGCTACTTCCTGCTTCGGTTTATTCACAGAGCACTTGGATCTGATGGACGAAAGCATAGCGACAGTGAGTTACCGATCGTTTTCTTAAACAGCTATAGCTCTTTGTTATCACCGCCGGCATTCTGGTGTATTACGGTAACCTGAAGGAAGTGAGGCGCTTTGTGCACTGACCCGCACGAACTCTATCGGAAGGGGAGTTTTCCATTTTTTAATGCAGGGTGTTGTCAGAGTACTGTGGAAGCATGAAAAAAGCTCTTACAAAATTGCTGAATTATGGGTAAATTTTCCGCCCCGGGTGGTATTCGTACTCGCATCTCTTGTTTTACGGGCAGTTGTGCTACAAGTTCCACCACCGGAGTAACAATTCACTCGATCTAGATATTTAAAGGATAAAGGATAAAGGATAAAGCATTTGCCGTTGATCAATCCCTTTTGGGATGCGGCACGCATTCTACTTCCATTTGTACATTCGTAGTGGCGTTTGAATGCGATGTGGCCTATACAATGACTTGCGGGGGCCAGCCGATGTACAAGTCAGTGTTTTTATCCTCAAGTCTGGTACCAATTACCGACCCCGGAGGGATGGAAGGCTTGGTTGGCCCGGGCGACTCACGACCCAGGATTTGATCCCCGGACCGCTCGCGTGGTAAGCGTGCCACTTGCCACTACTTCCGCCCTCAATTCAGATATTTACCATAGCTTATAGGCATTCACACGCACAACGTGGTAAACCGCTTAACCGATATCGGCATTGCAACCGCAAGGCTGAAAACTTTATTAGACTTTAACGTTTTTGACTTAATTTTATTGAAAGTTATCTCAAATGGGGTCATTGATTATTGTAGCGAAATTGCCTGGAAAGCAAGAAGTGCGGGTGCGAATCCCAATGGGGAGAAAGAAGAAATTCAGTGGACGGCTACAAACATTTCCACCTTTTTAATTTCATAAAAGTTTTACATATACTTGTCAATTTATAATCATTTTAGTAAATATACAATTAATTTCATTGCATGCTCCTCTGCATGATAATTTGTTACGTCACTCAAGGTTTATTCGTCTTTCCCCTGTGTCTTTATTTCGCCAATCCCAACTCACTGATGAGCTCCGGGGATTGACGAAATAATAAGGTTCGTCTGAGGAAGGAGCGAAACGAACCGTATCTAATTATTTTGTTTATAATGGTTTTTCTTTCTTAATTGCCTTATAATGCAGCATTCCCGCGCTAAGTTTAGCATTGTAATCGAGACTTCAAACTGCAATTATTCAATGGAAACATATCAAAGATTATCCGGCGATGATCAATTCCTTTTCCGCGAATACGCCACGCATTCCTCCTCTATTCAACATAGTAGGTGCGTTTGGAAGACAATGGTCTATACACTGATTTGCTGGTCATTCGAATACAATCAGTTTTCATCTATCCTCCCAGACTATTCTGGCACCGATTAACCGAACTTGGAATGGTAGAAGGTTTGACTGACCTGGCCAACCTATGATTCAAGATTTACTCTTCAGACTATGCGCTTCACAGAACCCGCGACACCGTCTTCCTCAATCAAAGAGCGATAATTATTCAGCAGAAAATCATGTCGTATGAGAACTCTAGAGCAGCTAGTCATTCTTGTAAGAACACACCACTGCGGTTCAGCTTCTTTCGTTTCATACAAGTGCCCATTCTCTTGCAGAAGATACTTATCTACCGTATGCGCGGATGCGCTGTTGGCGTTTGGGAATGCTTAAATGAACAGCGCGCATTGCTCTCCTTGAAAAAACGTTTCTGCCCACTCCATCAACACCTGTGTAATAGAATTTTCAATTTTCATCATTCAAATGCGGTATAGGTCATTTCTGTTGAATCTTTTTATAACTAAAAGAAGCATAACCGAATCACACGCACCAGTTATTATCTCTAACAACATGGGTTATCTAATATTCCCGTTTCCTTATCCCATTGGCAGATTCGACGGTGTTTCCAACACGAGTCGACCAGAGAGGAGAGGTGCGTTGTCGCTGGATAAAATTACAAAGCAAAAAGGCTTCAAGTATCTCAGGCCTCTGAAGAAGACGAAAGGTCGAAACGTTGGGCCAGTCAATAAAAGGTTCCAGTTATCTAACTTCGTATGGCACAGAAGAACTGAACATTGGAAGTTCTTATTTGATTACATCCAGGGTACACGAGAGGCTGTAGGTAATACCAAGCTCACAGATCTGGGTGAGCCTAGACCAAGGTCAACCGTGACGTTCGCACATTTTCAAAAATTTCACGACCCTCGCCCCTTTAGGGGGTCGCGAAATTTTCACCTTTATTCGCCTGCCTAAATTCCTACCTCCCACTTAATTACATCGCAAAATCCCTCAAAAACCATTCATCCAACAAACTACGAGTCCCACTCAACCCTCACGCGACCCCTAACAAAATAACAATCACAAAGTGCGGACCCACCATCGTTACGAATAGTACAATAGACGCCACGGATTGACGTGGCTAGAGTTCCTTATGCAAACTCTTGAGCAGACTTAAGTATATCAGCAACCGAAATAATCCCATATTCTTCTCTTCATTGCGGTCATAAAGAAGAAAGAGAGATTGGAGATTCCGTAGTAATCTACCGTCCAATCCTTCCAAGTAAATACCTAATCGAATCTTTATTTTTTTATTTTTTTATTTATATTTTCAGCATTACCGTACAGCAACGTCGTTATTCACTCGAAACGAGTTTACGAGATTCAAGCCGAAGAGGGATGCTTCACTGGGCCACCGGACATTCACGACCCAGTTGAAGAGACTCAATCAAAAAGGTTCATACTTCATAAGTTGATTTCCTATGCAATCAGCCTAAGAAATTTTGCAGCTGCTACGTTAACATTGGTTTCTGGCCCATTTTGATCTATGGCTACTTTCAGCACAAATTCTGAAGATCGGCAGTCTCTGAGTGGAAGTTTAGACAGTTCCAGACAAGGTTCGCTGAAGAAACCAGAAACGGGAGACTTGAAAACTATGCGGTTAGAGCACGGTTGCGATGATCCGAGACAATTGATTAGGAAGAAAGAGAAAAAGGTACTTTCCGATGTCGAAATTTATTTAACAGTATTTGGCACCACTTTGTCTTCCAAGGGTGTGCCGTGCGCTTGGTAACGCCATTTCGCCTTTGTTTGGGTTAACCCCGATTTTTTTCTAAATTTTCTGCTGCGACTCTCGCTTTAACACCAAATTCGCCAAGAAATCTACGGTTGCTTCGAAAAATGGTTTAGATTGTTTAGCTGTGCATAAAAAAGAGTAGTTTATTAGTGGTAACATTTTTTATACTTTATTTCATATTTCAGGTGCACAAAGATTCGGTATGCGCACTTCTGTTTAAGCCGGGCACGGAACCAAGAATGGTCTGAAGTCACACTCTGTTACTTGTTTACATCACTTCCTCTGATCTAGGAGTGCATTCGAGGGTTACTCACACGGAACCAACAACGTCCATTCTTTAATTGGCGCAATAATCCTCTCAATAATGCTAGTTGCATTCCCTTGAGATCTTCCATCCGCTAAAAGAACCGTCAATTGAAATGCTCATTTACCCGTTCACGGGAGAGCTAAATAATGCTTGAATGCTTATGCCTAGTTACCGAAAGCTATTCCTTTTTGCTGCACTTTTCGAAGTTTGGGGATGCGCCATCAGATTATTTCCTCTTTAGAATAGCATAGCGGTCGAAAGCCCGCTTTTTATGCAATTCGCGAAAGCCTTGACTAGATTAGAGACAGCGCCCCTTTGAAGGCATAATCTTGTTGGGTCATTTTTGCTAAGGTCCGCAAAAAGTACCCTAACATATCGAAAGGTTATCGATCGTTCTGACAGGCCGCAGCGCGGCCGCGCTGCAAGAACCACGATAATATCGTCCTGCAAAGGAAATTGACTAGAAGATGCCGACTTTGGTAGCGTAACTCTTCTAAAATGCATTTTTTTTTTCAAAAAAAAAGCCAATCGGACAAGATCACCGTGCTCTTGAATACTTCAGCCATATTCGAACATACATGTAGATTCGTTTGATCTCATACACACACGGTTTTCCTCATTTACGCGTTTTCTCCACGGTATTGCGATACAGCGCTTTCGCAGTTACAGAATCACGAGGCTACCGTATTCGTTTTCTTTTCTTATTGATTGTTACGATATTTTTCACTTACATTCCTGTATTGGTCTGGACTACTGATTGATATGAGCGTTCAGCGTTAACATAACGCTCTATCTGATTCATCTGTCAAATTCATTGTGCAATTATTTCAATACGGGATGTTGTTTTCCTTGTGGAATTTCTGATTTACATTTTTTTACGTGTTCTGAATAAGACTATTTGACGAGCTTTTGTAAAATTGCATTCCATAGAAATTATGAAATATATTTAGTTTGAAATTCGCTTTCGTTATTTGTTTGTGAATAGGGACAACAATAAAATGTTTAATTCTATTCAATGTGTTCGTGTCTGAATGGATAAGGGCGCATTCATAGTCGGTCGTCCGATCGCAACAATCGCAGGTGAGACGTGTCCGTACATTGGATGATCGATACGTATCTAACGCTGTGCGATCGTTACGATCGTAACGATCGAACGGCCGAATATGCATGCGCCCCAAGGGGGCATGTATTATAGTAAATATGGTGAAATTTTGCGCCGCCCACAGTGGTCTACGGACAACTTGAACTCGGTCCTTTAAACCGCTTCGAATTGATGCTTCGCCTGCGCTCTCTCGCCTGAACAGCGGCTTATGGTTACTGTGATCTGATGCATTCAAACTTTGCCACAATATGATTGGCTCACCCACTCCAGAGCCCCTCCTCCCTCCAAGGCTTAGTCCTAGGGCTCACACCTTCCTGCTTGAGATTTGGAGCCGAGCCAGGCGCCGTTCTCTAATCGTCTGTGCTCTGGCCTTTCGCGGCAGAGAACACAGGGGCGAGTTCAAGTAGTCACGTAATCGCCCATGGTATTGGTAATTTTACAGGGAATAAGCGCCGGATGCTTACGCAAGCGAGAGCGAAACGGTTCTTAGACCTTAAAGGTTACTCTCTCTGTAAAATTTGGGGTTACTGTAGGCGTGTATGTACTGTATGCAGCAGGGCCTGGTTGACAATAGAAAAAGCAGGGAAAAGACTTGTTATAGCACATCGTTTATAGAAGGATGAGTAAAATATCTCTAGGCGACCACTAAACCAGTGGAGAGCTTAGAGGATGTTGTCAGTTGATAGAAAGAAGCAATAATGGAATGAAAATATGGCAAGATGTATGGATAACTAGATACATTTGTAAAAAATAGCCTTCACTCTTTTCCCTCATTTCTGTTGAGACCTAAATCCTCTAACGTTTACTTTAAACCCATAACGGACGGCCAGTGTATTTTTCGCGTGCGCCACCATGTGGCGCACGCCGCCACCCAGGGTAGGGTTTATGTAGGCTTATGTGAACAGCAGGGGTAAGACGGGGCTAAAGTAGGTGTCGGAGTCTCATCATCCGAAAAAAGAGATTTCCGTTGACGACAAGTTCGTAGCCCGCCTTTCCGCTCTAAAACTAGGGTGCAAAGAATGAATGGAAGCTGTAGGTGACATTATCGAAAAATGCGAAACAACAACCCCGAGCAAGGATGTGGCTATATTTAGGGGAAGGGGTCTCGGGACGTGCGAACCATGGGTAAGCCACCCATCAAATAGTAAACTTATGTAAAAATGTATGTAAAATTTATTGTAGGTTTGTCAAAAATCCAGCCGTCCAGGTCCTGGGAAGATATGTTATTCCACATTGCTGAGAGTATATATGGGTATATTAAGATTGCTAGAAACATTCCAAAAACAAAAGAAATAGTCGTGCGCCACCTTGTGGCGCACGCCGTCCGTTATGGGTTAAAGGTTTCATAACAATTGGATGCTGCGCTTAATCACTCTTCTTTTAGATGCCAAATGAAGGCAGTAGAGATTTTAACAAAGCACCAAGCTGGTCCTAGAATTTCATCTATTCTTATTATCACTAGCAAACCAAGATTTCCTGACAGCTTCAGCGTAATGGCGAACACAGGAGATCAGTCGTTCTTTCAACAACTCACAGTAGCATTTCAGCAAAAAAATGAGCCCAAACGACAGTTCTCCCAATTCCATTTTAGCGTATCAATGTCACCTCACCAAAATAGAAAATTCTACAGATACGCTTTAGAAGGCGATTCAGAAGTGACATCACGATTTCAGCATAATTTGTTGCAGCCGGATGGCCATGCAGCGACTGCTATTTACATTTCATCTTCACTTGAATTTTGTTCTGAACCGAGTTGAATGGTCGTCAATGAGCAGAAAAACATGCAAACGTTTGAGCAGCACTGTACCCGACTGCACTCGGGCAATCCCCCTTAGTCATTGTATTTTATTTATTTATTTATTTTGATGCACGCATAGGTGCGCTATAACATAGCCAATAGTGTACCGCAATGAAGAGTGAAGCTTGACCGACCTTAACTCGTAAGGGAAAGAGAGTTACCACGCGGAAGACAAAAAGGAAATACATACAAAACTTCTGCCCAATCGAAGAAATTGTTGAGAAGACCTGGTGTTACCACGTTGAGCAGAACACGTGATACCAAAAATGACTCCAGATAGGCGGATGGCGCTAGGGATAACGCCACTCCTAGACGAGCTCGGAGCATACGTACGGAATCCGAAACTGAATTTTCGGATGTTAGGTATTCCCTACCCCTAACAATTCAGTTTCGGACCCGCCTTCAAAAGATTAATTCAAACCAGATAAACATCAAAACTCAACTAAGTAGAGCATTAGTCAGAAGAGAGAAAATCTGTAGATAAACGCAGACATCCACGTAGATTTCCCTCCCAAACCGTTAAGGTCAATCAAAAACGACAGCGGGTTCCATAGGAATAGCATTTGTGAAAGCAACTCAAAAAGAAAAAAAAATACAAACAAACAAAAACAAACAGAAATCAACTATCTACTATCACAGCCTTCTAAAATATCGGTCGAACTGACAGTTAGAGCGCAAGAGACAAACGTTCAGAGTAAATGTCCGATAACTGAAAAAAAAGTCCTCAAGGATATCAGAAGTCTTGAATGCCAAGAAGCGCTAAAAGATCAACTTTCCTCAACTTCCTCTTGAAAATGTTGACATTTTGAGCCCTTTGAATCTCCGTTGGGATCATCTGAAGCCATTTCGCTCCCCGGAAAATCAAGGAGCTGGAAACTTTACTACGATGTTTTCTGGTTAGCTTAGGACATATTAGAGAGAAGACACTAGTGCGCCCACGGGAAGGACGAAACACCCAGTAAGTGCTTGGCTTCAGCTTCAAATCGCCTTTGAGCAATTTGAAGCAGAAGACAATGTCGTTAAAAACACGTCTATATAGCAAGCTCTTGAGTTTGAAGCGTTTTAGACGTTCTCTATATTCTGGCATACAAGACGGATACTCAGGGTTTGGGTAGCACCGATACATCAGTATTTTTGTGAAGGTTTGTTGGACCTTCTCTATTCTAGCCTGGAGTTTTCTGGTGTACGGACTCCAAATTTGTGATCCATATTCCAATATCGGTATTACATAGGTCTTATAAAGTTTCAGGAAAAGTGACACGTCATTATAACGAATATTCCTGAAAATGGTGAAAAGGGCTTTGAAGGCTTTTTGTACGATTTCCCTAAGGTGGGGCTCGAAATCTAGTTCTGTATTGACCAAGAACCCAAGGTCACGGACATCATCAGAAACGCGCAGTGCTACTCCATTAAAAGCGTAGGGAGACCTATGAGCATTCCCAATGTGGAGCACCACTGTTTTTCAAGGTTAAGAGGTATTTCCCAAGCCGTAGCCCAATCCATCATGTTGATAATGGATTGAGATAGGGCGTGGTGAATACTTTCTTTGGTATCGTCATCATAAACACCATATACCTTTATATCATCTGCGTAAATACGAACTTTAACCGAAGGATGTGTAATCAGATAGTTCGGCAAATCATAGGTGTACGCTAAAAACAAGATTGGAGAGAGTACACCACCTATTATTAATTTGACGTATGTCTATGAAAAGGACAATTCCCAGTGCAAAAAAAAACTTATTGGACCTTCATAATGATTCGAACTGATTTGATTTTTCACATTATTAAGCTCACTTGTGAACACTCCAACAAGAACATGCAATCAAAGCATTGAAAAACAAAAAAATTGATTGATATGGCGTTAAAACGATCAAAAACGTAAGATACTGTGAAGCGATGAGAAATGACAATAAAATGTGACAATATGAAGCGGCAGTTAGGCACAGAAAAACAGGAATGTCAGATCAACAACAGCTCAAGACAGATCATATCAAGTCACTCTCAAATCATGTCTATTGAGTCATAAGCTTTTTAAAATG